AAGAAAGTTAAAACGTTTCGGCTCTGCCTTATGCACCTTAGAAGAAAGTTAAAACGTTTCGGCTCTGCCTTATGCACCTGAGAAGAAAGTTAAAACGTTTCGGCTCTGTCTTATGCACCTTAGAAGAAAGTTAAAACGTTTCGGCTCTGCCTTATGCACCTTAGAAGAAAGGTAAAACGTTTCGGCTCTGCCTTATGCACCTTAGAAGAAAGTTAAAACGTTTCGGCTCTGCCTTATGCACCTGAGAAGAAAGTTAAAACGTTTCGGCTCTACCTTATGCGCCTTAGAAGAAAGTTAAAACGTTTCGGCTCTACCTTATGCGCCTTAGAAGAAAGTTAAAACGTTTCGGCTCTGCCTTATGCACCTTAGAAGAAAGTTAAAACGTTTTGGCTCTACCTTATGGTTATGGATGGATGATGATGATGATGACGAGCGTGAATAAAATTTAAAAATATTGTACTACAAAAAAAGAAGTGCCCTTTATGTGTCCTAGAACTGGGTTATTTGGAGGTCGAGAGGTCAAACGTCACGCTTATAAAAGCTACATTATTTATTTTAACCATTATAAACCATTGCTGTCAGTTTATATGGAAACAGAGCGTTTCTGAGTAAAGAATTAAAACAACAACTTCTCGAATACGTCACGACTTGGAGATTGTCAGCCATTGGTCAGCAACAAGAACCTCACGAACACGTCACAACTTGAAGATTGTCAGCCATTGGTCAGCAACAACAACTTCACGAACACGTCACAACTTGAAGATTGTCAGCCATTGGTCAGCAACAAAAACTTTACGAACACGTCACAACTTGAAGATTGTCAGCCATTGGTCAACAACAACAACTTCACGAACACGTCACAACTTGAAGATTGTTAGCCATTGGTCAGCACCTTACTTTAATATCAAGTATCCACAGTAACACTAGAGTATGCTCGGTGTCATTCGGTGCGAGTTACTATTTTCAATCACCTCGGAAAACTTATACTACAAAATATCGAGCTGAAACTCCGATAAACAAAGTTCTTGATGATTTCAGTATTTTTTTACTTATTATTAAGTATATGTTAATATGATACGATTAAGTTTGTTTTTGTTTGTTTGTTTTTTGAATTTCGCGCAAAGCTACACGAGGGCTATCTGCGCTCTGTCCACCACGGGTATCGAAACCCGAATTCTAGCGTTGTAAGTCCGCAGACATACCGCTGTGCCACTGGCGTTT